TTAATTAGAGGAGGTTTATTAATGACGGCCTCGTGTGAAAATTTTGTAATTTGTTTATTATTTCTCGGGTTTCTAACTCTGCTGCTCTGCATTTTTGGATACCATCTTCCACCTTCGTCCGCGAAAGTAACGAACTATATATGACCAACTCCAGGTTTTTCTAAAGACAGCGCACTGTTAATTCTTTGCATTATATATTTTTTGTCTTACTCGTACTACATATCCGGCGATGTATGTAATTATTTGCTCACTATATTCGGACATTCGAGGCGACGTGCTGCAAAAACTATCGAAATTGCTGATACTAGTGACAATAGATACTACAAAACGAAACGCTGTAACAAAAGAGTTATTCAATATTTTTATAATATTGCTAAGGTCATAATAATTTCCGTCCCTTTGTTTTCAAAATCGATCAGAATCGAGAACAGTATTGCCTAACGTATACATCACTAAATGTCAAATTTGGCCAAAGAAATGTACAAGCGGCCGTACCACGAAACTGAATGCATTATACAAAAGTGCGTTCGCTCGATATTCATGGCGTATTAACAAAGGATCACAAATATATCGCACCAAGTGAAAGCCGCAATGTATTATAAATCATGAGACATACACTCGGTTGTACATTTGTTTTGTCGAAATTCGTACAAAACCAAAACAATTGTTTTTAAAATAAATTATGCATCTTCTGATTACAAAATCACTTGCCCGTGGAACGAAACCTCCCTGTTTAGTTGCAGTATATAATGGCACAATTATGCATTTTTCGCGTTTTCGACTGGTATTTATCTACGATAACGGTCCAGCGCGTTCTGAAGTGTAGCAGCGGCAAGTAAGAGAATTTCACTTACTTTGGCCACGCGAAGTACGTACACTTCCGGCGTGTATCGATATATATCTGTAACCGTGACCATGGGACCTCTAAAGGGGTCGGAACGTCGGTTTGTTTGGAAAAACAAATATACGCGATTTAAATCCGGAAAAATAGTTTCATTTCCTATGAATAAAGCCTTTTTCGTATTGTAATTATTTCAGGCAGGGAAAAAATCGAAGGTGCCCGTTTTTTTGTTTGTTTGGAACAGGATGTTACCTAGTTTGTAACAATCCAGAAAATAAATATTTAAAAAATCGGAGTAATTTTTTTTTGTGACATAAGCATTTTAATGAAAAATGTTGAAAATGTACGCCCTGTACGCCAATTTTAAGTACTACAATTGCAATTTTGCTGCTAATTAGTGCTATGTACATAACGAATCATTTCTAGCACCTTTCACAGTTCATGTATCCTAAGCTGCGTTTTACAGTGATTCTATGAAATCGGATAAAGACCTGTTCTTTCAGCGTTTTAAAATGCCCTATAATATTTGTGACATGTGCTCAGAAGTAGAAGTTTTGTGAGTAAATAAATAACAAAATCTATTACGTCACGTATTTTCGACAACTTCAAAGCAAGTAGTAAGTTAGGGATGTTCGAGCTCGATTTTAATATCGATAACGACGAATTAGCGTATTTTTTTAATATGAAATTAATTTAATTAAACAATATATTCTACAAAAATACAAGTGCCAATTTGTTATTTGAAAATAACTCTCCACGTCCTTGAATTTCTACTGCACCCTTCGGTTACAACCCATATATATATGTCTTAGGTCTTAGGTACCTCGTGTCTTAGGTCTATATATATATATATATATATAGACCTAAGACACGAGGTACCCTAATTGAGGCTCCTGTCTCTCACAAAATTGAATATTGAAACTATACTGTTATTATATATCTATCTGATGTGAGAGAATATAAAAATATATAACTATTATAATGAATGAAGAGGTAATAAATGATTTATTTTATCAATACAAGGGGATAAAACTAAATAAGACAAATACAAAGATCCGACAACAAGCACATAGAGGAATTCGTGAGGTCCGCTGGTTCATCGGTTTGCTAGGAGACGTCGGTTCCAATCCGGTTGGATCGAAGGAATTTTTTCTAAGTGTTCCATCTTTGTATTAATAATTATAACAAACTAGTGGAGTATTTTCACAAAAAATATTTGAATATCATGGTTGTGAAACATTTATGGAATATGAAACATTCAGTAAAAATTTAAAGACTTATATATATTCAATGTTACATCTAGGGCAGGGCATGCAAAAACGGTATGTTTTTAAATCCGATTTTTTTTTCGGTCACCCGTTCATTCGGTTTTTTCGGATATTTTTCTATTGTCATCCAAATAATTATTCAAAAGTTCATTTATAGAATTCACATCTAATGAGATCGATCACGGATTATAATAAAAAACAAATCAACAACAACACAATCTAAATTAAATGTGCATATTTAAAGACAAGCAAATTAAAATTTTTTTCTGTCTGGCTCTATGTAGTGTTACCAGCATTAGGCTTGAAAATCGGTAAATTTTCACAAATAGATAAATATCACTGTAAAAACGTCATGCTACTCAACAAAAGTAATCAATTCTTACCTATTTAAATCTAAAAAATAAAAAGTGAGTAAAAAACTTTTTAAATAAATGGTCTAAATTCCTTTTTTGTAAATCCTTTACCTACACTGATTTCGATCTTTCGCCATCTTGAAAGTTTGGTTTGTGCTCGTTTGTTTTTGGTGTCTCTTTCTTGTGATTAGACTTTGCTTTTCAACTATTTCTGTTTGCTATCACGTTGACCTTTAACACTTACCATATAATGTTAAATAAATGTTAATTATTCTATCTAGAACTTTATTATATAATCATAAAATTTTGTATTGTAATCGTTCACCTTCCTACTTACGTTGCGATGTTAGATGTCAAAACGGGTCTATTAGATTGTGAAAATTGTGTTTGTATTAGCCGCTCTTCCCCACACAGTGATACAATTCGATAGCAAACATTGACAAAAAGTCCCATAAACCGTTTTAATGGATGGGGAATGACGACTGTATCGCTGCTTTTTATACACAAATATATTTTTTTTAATTCACGAGCATCAATCTAGTATTTGAAAATTAGAGTAGGTACTGCCTATCAGGTTAATTAGGTATTACATAATTTAAATTATTCACATACATAATCAGCTTTTATAATAACAGAACAACATGTAAAAAAGAGGAAATGTACGGCTTTGGGGGCACAGAAATGTAAGGAGTTAATGTACCAATTACGATTACAGACAAACGAGTATCAATTATAGGCCAACGAAAACAGAAAATTGATCAAGAGACAGCAAATAAAGCAGAGGATAAAGTCAAAGGGCAAAGTACGTCTTCAGTAGAAAATGAACTGCCGAAAAAGGAAAGCAGCCCTAAAGGAACTGATAACACATTTACCGCTCACATGGCGAAATCGTTAAAAAGCAAACTTGACGAATTACGAAACCGAAAAATTAGTAACGAAAAAACTAAGATAATAATGTTAGCTGAAACAAGAGAAGAACTCGATAAAATTTTAGAACAAAGAAGTGAGTTCCTGGATGAAAATGTAAAAAACCACTTAGCTGAAGTATTACTGATTAGATTACTAAAATCCCAAAGAAAACAAAAAAATAATGAAACTCCAAACACACTAGGTGATTTAGTAAAAATCCTGGGTGAATATTCAATACACAGCTCTGATTATATAAAAAGAAAGATAATTAGAAGCTTGAAACATAATATAATAGCTTTAGAGAAAAGCAAGGCATACAAAAGCACAGAATGCAAAGATCAGTTGAAGGTGCATGCTATGCATGAAATAAATAAGTTATTAGAAGATCATTTTGAAACTTTACCGTTTGCTGCTAAGGAAAAAATTGTTCTGAATTTAGTCGACGAAGTTTGCAAAAATTATGAAAAGGAGAAACAAGAAAGAGCAGAACAACTTAATTTCGAAGTAGATGACACGCAAAGTAGTTCAGAGAGTTTTGACGACTCTGACAATAAGCGGAAACAGTCTGTAAACAAACAAGTAGCAGCTTGGTTTAGAAGTACTCAATACAAACCAGGTAACACTACCGGCCAAAGAATTTTTACGAAAGTTTCTCAAAATTCGAAAAGAATTAAAAAGGGGAATTTGAGTTCTGGGGAATCACGAACACACATTGTGAGAAAATTACGTTTCTTTTCGGAAGATGTTGCCGAAGTTACTGGGGAAAGAGTGGATGTAAAGCAAAAGGATAAACTTATTCAAAGACTGTTGACAGGTTCTAATATTAATATACGTAAAGAAATGGACGATGATCCAATACTCGTAAGTAGTAGTAAAGATCAGAAACCGCTTTCACGAAAGCTGTCCGTTCATAGTAATTGCAATTTAAAATGTTCAGACCGCGATAAGAACAAATTATCCATTGACGACATTGAAGGCACATCTAGGTGCTCAAAACATAAAAAAAATCAAAATAAGGACACTGATTCCATTAAAATATCAGAATACGATTATAATGGTAGGAGGATAAGGCGTCGTGAAGTTGAACCCAAATACATAGTCACGGGTAAAATAAAAAGTAATGCTAAACAAAAACATTTTGTACCCTTAATCAGCACAGAAAACATAGTAAAGGCTACATCAAAAATGAACGGAGAAGTGCATACTAAGAAAAGCACGCCATTAGCTCAAAAAAGGAGCAAACAAGATGTTATTAACAGAACTCCGAATGAGTTTGAGTGTGAGTCTATCATTTCTGAAGAAGAAATTGCAAAACTCTTTGACGACATTATACATTATGAAATCTTCAAAAAAGGAAAAAAAGAAAGTAAGGAAAAAGGAGTTTGGTACGACGTTTTTATTTTATCTCCAAGTGAAGATGAAATTCTACAATATAAGCTGGAACCGTCTGAAATACATCGCGCAAATGAAAAAAAATCCCAAGAGAATGCAGAAGAAAAAGAAAAATCTTTTAATAAAGAGAAAGCGGCAAATAAATGTACCATGTTTTGTACTGAAACATCTGACATAGAAGAACCTATGGAAAAAGTGGATGACCAAGTAGGAGTACCTAAAATTAACCTTACACCCAAAAAAACCCCACACAAACGAAAACAATGGATTCCAGCAATATGTGACAAGAAATATAGTAGAACTAATATAAACAAGTTACCAGAGATTTTAAAAACACAAGTTTTTATAAGTGATGAGTTACTTCGTAGACAAGTCACACGAAGTTCTAGTGAACAATGTCCAGCAGAAAATACATCTATGTCGCCAAAAGGGCGTAGGTTTGAAGACCGGAGTAAAGAGAAATCACAGTTGCGTTATAAAACTAAAGGTAATTATTTCTTTTAACAAGTTAATTTAAAGACAGATGAGTGTTTTTTAAATCAATCTTATCAGATAATGATTTTCCACATTACAAACTACATGAATCCATAAATTATACGTCAAAATTAATCACGCAATATTATATTATTCCATTAGTTTGTTATAATATTATTAATATAAAGATCGAATACAAAGAAAAATTCCTTCGATCTGATAGGATTTGAACCTGCATCTAATCTAGAGAATAAAATCAATATTTTATTATTCCTTTAACTTAAAAACACTTTTTTCGCTAAATTGTTATAGACGCAGGTGCTGCTACCAAGCCAAGGAAGACGTCTTTTGTAGACAAGCCCACTTCATCGAAGGAAGGAACTCAACTTCCTACTAATCTACCACGGAGGGATTCAAATACATCAAACACAAAAAACAGAAAATCGGAAAACGAACAGGAAGATCGGGAATCAATTCATGTTGAAAATCGATTGCATGATCTTTTAGTTGAAGAGGCTGGTGTTACTGGTCCAGAAGCACAGTCTTTGGCACATAACGTTCTTCAGAGATCTCTTAGACCTGAAAGTGCAGAAAACTTTATGACTTTGGAATATCTGGATGAAATTCTAACAGACCATATAAAGAAAATTTTGAACGAAGGTCCGGTAACAGATAATCGTGATTACCTTGAAAGGAACCTTGGAGAATTGTTAGCAGACGAAATCAAGCGAGGTACAGTTAATGTGAACACTAAAAACAAAATAGGTGAAATTCTAGAACAGGGGCGAGTCCCAAATGAATTAATAGATAAAACACTGCAAACACTTTACGATACTACGTATAAAATATCGGAACGCGTTAAGAAACTTAACGAGAGAGAGAAAAATGGTAAAAAAGTCAAACTACCAGAGAAAAATGATTACGACTACAGATGTTTTAAAGAAATAGAAAAATTTTTGACTCCAATAACAGCTGATATCAATGATCAAGAGAAACTGAAACAGAAGAATGATATAAAAGACGCTGTAGCAACGTTAAAAGAAATTTTAATGAATACATCGTCGCATGACGAACAAGATAATCAAATGTTACCCGTGTTGCTAAACTTAATAAAGAAAAATCCTCTAACTATTGACACACCAGCAGAAGTGTTAGCCAAACAACTTTTAGAGAATCTTGAAAAGATACATCTGACGGCGTCTACTACTCCACGGCAATCAATACAATCACAGGAAACAGGGGAATTTAAATTAGCAGAGTCAGAATACCTTACCAAAATACAAAATGAAATAGAAAAATGGTTATCTGGTTTATCGATAGACCCGGGTATTGCTAATGACAGCAATTTTAAAAAGGCTTTTATCAAAGATTTGGCTGGAAACGTCGTGGATAGACAAAAATATTACCAAGTTCACTCCGCGAATAAACCGTCCGCAAAAGAACAATTGGAACATTTAAACTATGATGTTTTCAGATTGATGAATAAATTTTTGGAATCGAAAGACTTGGAAATAGCTATGAGTTCAATAGATGAGTTGATGAATGCTATAAGAAGTATAAATGTACCTTCGTTAATTGTTGGAGCCAGTCCAACTTACACTGACGCTTTGGCTAATGAAATCGCTGCATACATAGATAAGATGCCGCCTGGATATTTAGGGGTAGATAGAAGTAAACTACGAAATGCCATAAAGGACTTAGTTGACGAAATAGATGAAGCCAAATATAAACCTGACGTTGATTCAAAAATAAGTGAAGCAATTTCAACCTGGTTACCTAAAATATTTCCCAAAGTTCCAAGAACAGAATTAAACAAAATGGGAAAACAGTTAAAACAAATTTTGAAGGAAAAAGGCTTTACTGATGATTCTTGGATCCTTTCTTTAGATCCTAGTAAGTTTCTGGAAGAAAATCTTAACAGTGCTTTAGTTGATTGGCTGAAAAGTACACCTTTGTATCTTAATAAGAAACAACAAGAGAAAAATGATATGGAGAACGCTGTTAATGTTCTCAGTGACGGTTTAAAGCAAGAAATTAAACGTGTTCTAAATTCGGAGGAATTAGGCAATCTTGATATTGACGCGGTTTTGTTAGAGGAAATAAAAAAGCACCTATGTCACGTGATTAGAGATCCTCGGCTTACGGACCCAAGTTTTATGCATGAAGCGGCTGAAGTTATTTTAGGTTATTTAAAGGACCAACAAATGTTTCAAAACATATCCCAAAGAACTAATGGACCCGGCGAATATTTGGAAGCCGTTGTTGCCAATTGGGTTCAGAGTATTCCTGTACAAGGTAGTAATTCGGTAGAAGAGAAACAGCTAGACGATGCTGAGAAAGAATTTATACGTCGCTTGAAGCAAGCCAGATTGCAACATCATCCCAATTCACCGCAACATGAGAAACATGTTAAAGAAGAAGTCAAGAGATTCTTGCAATCTATAATTACAGATTCTTGTGTCAAATTTGATGAAAATTTTTTGAATGATAAAGCAGAAGATTTGGTTCGAGTTCTTAAAATTGTACCCATAGATCATGTGAGACCTAATGTGGAAGCATGTCCGGAGAGAACAGACGTGTCCAGGTCTTTTAAATCACCAGCCGATATTCTATATGATAACGTCGCAAGTTGGTGTCAAGACCTTCCTATTTACTGTGGAGATTCACCAGATGATATGGAGAAAGTGCAGTTAATAAAACAAAATTTATCATGTAAACTAATCAACAAAATTGGAGCATTAAATTTAAATCCGGAAATTTTCAAAGATGATTTTTTATACGAAGAAATTTTACTCGATGAACTGGATATAATGCTGAAAGATGTCCCGAAAAGTTCTGATTTTATAAAGTATTTACCCGCTTTAAAAAGTCTTTTGGTAGCTAAAGTAAAAGAAGCAAGGCAGACAATTCGCAATGAGCTGGACGCGATGAATTACAAACACCAACTGCGCGAAGCTATTGATGCGACTATTAATTTCCCGGGTGGTTTAACGAGTGAAGAGTTTGCAAATTTCGAAATCTTCAAAGATACTATTTCTGAGGCCTTCATAAATTATTTGTATTCTCCAAATAATGACGACATAAAATCTGTGGTTGCAAAGAAAATATCTCATGAAGTTGATAAATTATGCAACGATTATGTTAGACATCGTGGTCTTGGATGTTGTTATGACACTGACAAGATAAAAGCTGATATATACAACGCTTTACAAAGTGTTAATATGCCCAGTGACGAATCCATGAAAAGTGAAGTGGAACAATTAAAAATTAAAAATGTTATCAACAATTGGCTTAAATTGATACCGTTTAGAGACGACACTGCAGCAGGTAGACTAAATAGGAATAAAGTAACGACTATACTAGCTAAACGTATACACGAACTCGAAAAAGAGAAAGAATCAAACCCGTATTACGATAGTTATTCGAACATTTTGGATGAAATTGTTAAATATTTGAAAAAAATGCCGTTAGTACCTGGTGCTGAATCTGCAATACAATACTTAGCTGATAGACTTAAAAACACATTGCAGAGCTCCGCACAAATCAGAAAGTTCGATTCGCAAAAATGCATAAATTCGATTCATTCCGAATCCGTATGTTTCAAGAACTCGTCCAGTTTAACCGCTGCAGACAGGGAGCATATGCAAAGAATTAAAGAAAGAACAGGTAAAATATCTTTCTGTAAAGATACTTGCGTAGGTCCACCGCCCCTACATGAGTGCAGTCAAACAGATGTAATAAGACCGTCTTTGAATCAAACCATATGTCCAAATAAATCAATGGGCATACAGTGTTCATCATTATTTACTCCATCCGCATATTCGTCACGACCACCTAATTGTATAGCTCCAAAAACTCCTTGTCATGCCTTGCCACCTCAAGCGACAATAAACTTATCAAGCCAAAACAAGTCGATGGGCACACAATGTTCATCTTCATTTACTCCGTCCGCACATTCGTCACGGCTACCTGATTGGATGGCGCCACAAACTCCTTATACCTTGCCATCTCAAGACACAGCAAATCGATCTGATTATCCTTGTCCTAATGCAAAATCTTTCGTTTCCACTGCTTCAAGTCCTTTATCTAGGTCTCCTCCTTGTGCTTCAAGTACGAGGTACTCGTGTATGGCAGCTAGACCGTCTTCATCAAGGCAATGTTCACACACTCTACGAGATTCTAGTATAAATCGGGCTTCAGCTGAAATATCTCCAAATGTGATAATTAAGGAATACGTATGGGAAGAGACTTCACCCAGCCAAAGTACTCCGACAAGTCCAAACCCCCAAGACGTTTCACAAAACAGAACAACTACTAAGTCACCAGGTGTGCCTCTACTTGGGTCATTTCAGTCTTGTGGATGTGGACCAGGCCGCAGACGAAGTATCTCAGATTGGAAACCATGCACGTTTTCTGAAGAATCAAGCGGTGATGAATTTCGTCCTGGTTCAAGTCATATGTGCAAACCTAGGGTAATAAATCTCGTTTCATGTAATGAACCACCTCAACCCTCACATCCGTATAGTACTGCAAGACCAAAGCCTAAGAAAGCGAAGACAAAACATAAACCAAGGAGTGATGATTCGTTGTCCATTGTAGAAGGTCGGCAACCAGAGTATTGTGAAACGTGTTACAAACATCGTGGCAATCCTTGTTCAGAAAGACTTGAAGAAAGATCAAGATGCAGTTGCAAGGAGAAAGTTTTCGTTTCGTGCAAGGGAAACTCGAACATTGTACGAGAACATTGCCAAAGGTGCGGCGCTACTTGTCCACATCCTACCAATTTGTACTTCAGGAAATAAAACGTTTACTTATTGAGTTTTGTGTTGTCCTTTGTGTTGTTAAATGGTTTACGTCTTTGTATGTTTTTGGATTAAATGTTTACCATGTTACAGTTTGCTTATTCAGTTCCGCAAAACTTTGCTGTTTACTGCTGTAAGCTTTGTGATAGCTCGTCGTGTTCGGTATGTAGATACTATCTATAATGTTGCAAGATTATCTAGTTAAAAACAGCTAATAAATGAAAATTTCGAGGCACGCAATACGTCAAGATATTTCGTCAATCTTGTGAACAAATAAACAGCCCAGACCGAAATTCCCGGCTCAATCCCATCGTGTCCCGGAACCACCTCCTAGCTTGGTCATCCTCTGTACAGATAGGCCAAATAAGACAGTAGTCATGGATACGTTAGATACAGCCAATACACACGTCGATTCGTTCTACTTTGATAGTAGGCTATAGTGAAAGTGTGTTAAGAGCATAAAATAATTCAATGGTATATTGAATGCCATTGAATTATACTGCTATGTTAATAATGGTATAACTGGTCCATAGGGATTACAGCAGGGATAGGGGTGACAGCACCGCTCAACTTTGGTTGTAGGCCTGCAGTTAAAGTATAGGTCTGCGCCTGGAGCCTATAGTTCATTCAGCTTGCTCCGCATT